CAGCAAAGTCCCGGTTGAAGATGTTCTTCGCGGGCACTAGTCCTCGATATATTGACGCAGACCACGGCGCTTCTCCCGGTATGTCAGGGGGGTTAGCGAGGCTTGCGTAGTCCCACCGATACTTTGTCTTAGGGGGACGATGCCGGCCCAGGCCGAGCTGTTCTACCGAAATATCTACACAGAGACACCAGTAGGCAGCAGTGCCAGTGAAGATACACCTTAGTGTTGTAACCAATTTGCACAACACACTCACCATCGAAGATCGGACGCCAAGTAGACTGGTACCCAGTTGCAAGAATGACAGCTGCGGCGGGAAACATACGTCCATCGTCAAGGATTACCGAGCGCCCGTCATCACCGTATTTTGCCACTCGCGCAGGCGAGATGAGAGATATTTTACCCGAAACCGCGAGCGCATGAAAACTTCCCTCGCTGGGGACCCCTTCGTCATTGATGCGTGTGTCCCAAAATAGGGAATGATTCCGACGAAGGGGGGAGTCGCTCGAGATACCCAGAACGTGAAACTGTAGTTGGAGGTGAAAACCTTTGTAATGTTTTGTATAATTGGTTTTACCGAGTACTTGGCCAAAGCTTTCCAAAAATAATACACAATAGCGGCGCCCAACCAAGTTGTGTGCAAGAAGCGTCTGATAAATGTTCAGACAGGACAGCAGCACAATACAACAGCAGAGGAACCTCACTCCAGGCGTGTGCGTAGCTCTCTGTGGGGGGACATTATAGAGAGAAACCTGACATCTACTTCAGAACCGGAATCAGGTGCAAAAAAATTGATTGTGATACCTGCTCTTCCTTATATAGGGTGGTAGAGGAGTTGAGCTTGCCAAGAAAGCGTCAGTAGAGTCAAATATCATCGAAACAGGGAGGCCTTCTCTAGCAAGAAAGGCAGCAGAACTTGCACAGCAATTAGTCAGATGTACTTCGAATGTGTGGTTGGTCAAGCGCACTCTTGTGCCGATTTTCCGCCTCCCACGACTATGATGGGTGCACCTGGGGCCTCGTTGGAGTCAACAGGTGTTGTGCATGTAAGAAGATCATCAATCCGCGACTTGAAGTGCATTGAATGCAATACAGGACCATAAAATCGTGCTGCCTTGGCTGCATCAGGAGTCAATGACTCTGGGTACTGTGGGCTACTGCAGCCCTAAGAAGCCACGAGATAGAAGATGAGGTCTCAGATCGACTCGGAAGTGGCGGTGGGCAAAACTCACTCCGGTGCATAAAATGATCCGTGAGAAATATGAGACCTTCTCTGCGCCGCCCGTTCTTCTGTCGCGCACAACCACCTTCCACCCTCTCCCGTGATCTCTTCGACGGATGTTGAGTACCTCACTTTCGAAACGAATTTTACCCTTCAAAAATCGCTCGGCAAAATCCTTCAAGTACTGCTGCACGTCATCGCCTGACAATCGACCTCCGGTCTTGATGGAGTCATTAGGCGCGCGCATCGGCTTGGCAGAGAATCTGAACTCCCCATGCACGCTAGTAGATTTCTACATTGAACGACCAGGAGAGTGGAAAAGGGGGGGGGGGTCGAGACAGACCTATTTATGCGGAGTCCAGGATATATGCGCTCTTCAGACCAAACGCCACCCACAGAGCTGTCGCGGGTGAGTACCTCAACGCTCTCGAAGCCGTCTTGAAGTAGAATGTGGGCTGTTATAAGCCCAGCAATACCTGAGCCAATGATTCCTACGGGCTCTAAGAGTGGATTGGGCTCGGTTTCAAGCGAGTGAGTAACCATCGTTTCGTGGGGCATGTTGTTATTGGGTGTGGGGGAGCGAGCGAGAGGAGTCAGGCAGGAAAGGAGACTTGGAGGTCGGTGACTAGTAATCCTCGGGGGTATTAGAAGCACACCACCACATGCCAAAAATTGAAGAGGAGTTACGGGAGATTCAAAAGTTCATCAAAGTCACAGTCCTGCCATCACTGGCACTTGCCACGTTGGCACCCACCTAGCTAAGCGTCGAGAACTCCGAGTCGGAAGAGGTCCACGGAGTAAGCTATGCGATATAACGAAACATGATGGCTTGCTACCCAAGTATGTACCAAGTTGCCCCACAGCCGGTACAGTGGGTGCTTGAGACTGCCCAAGGAGAGAATTAGTAGTACTAGCGAAGAAGTCTTTAAAGGTATTAGTTGCAAGAGCCACATGGCAAGGCCAGACTACAGTGGGTAGATTTGAAATAGTGGGCGTTGGGGTCAAGGTGATGCATTAGCCTCGTGACCGGCCGTTCTACAATGAGGAAACCTCGAGATATCCCTTTTAGGACTCGCCGAGAGACGGTTACCGGTCTAGTGATGCATCACCCCAGTGCATTCTCCGAATAAGTTAGTACTTTACATCCCGGGACAGAAGACTTCTTTCCCCTTCTCTTCCCCGCGTAGTTGCTCTCCTTTTCAGTTATTCTCCCCTTCCCTTCAGTGAACCCCAGTCCAAGTACCAATCATCGACTCAAGCCGTATACGCATACAATACTGTACCAGTATCAAACATTCTAGAGGTGTACCGTAACGCCGGAGATAATGCGATTGATTGCGGCACATCGCCTGGCCTGGGGCTAACGTGAGTGGCCGGGTATCCCCTTCAAGTTCCTGGTGTGTGTTCAAGTTCAACTGCCGTCCCGTTTCTCCACCAATTGGCCCCTCTATTCTCTGCTGGTCTCCTCCATCTCGATGTCCCGCACTAACACAATGCTTTTTGGTCAAGCCTCTTTTTACTGATACAGATCCATCGATGGCCTCGTCCGGCCAAGCCGGTCAACCTTTGACCCTCGGGCTGCAAAAATGTCCGTGTCATTGCGTCGTCAAATATAAATAGAGTGTCAACGCCTTTGAGTTCGCGCCTTCATGAAAAGTACATTTCAAGTTCAGTTGGGACATCTTTATGCGGTACAGTATCTTCACGCTGTACAATACGTGTTTACGAGAGATCTGAGCTGGGCTTTAGTTGATCACTGTAGTATTCATAATATTCCCGCCTTTACAATGTGGTGTGCTCCATGGCTCACAGTACGTAAGTGTCATCTTTTGCCTGCTTGCTTAGAGTATCCTCATCCGAAACCTAGGCTACGTCTACAGTAGCTCTAATAAAGGATTCGGGTTCGGTCTAACACACGGGGATTTCTGTCATGGGCTAGTAGTCATGCAAACTTGGGCGCTGTCACATTGCATCAATGAATCGTAAAGATAGCGACCAGGCAGTCTCCTCCCACCAGCAAATCCGTTGCACAACCCTGGGATGTCACCATCTCATGTCTCACTGGCACGATCTGATCAAAAGCGTGTGGCCCTCCGCCCTCTGAACGATCTGAGCAATGATCGATTACTGCAGCACTTTCCTTTGACTACCCGATCTGTCGAGTGATCAAAGGCATTTCTGTGAGAGGTGTTTTGATGGATGTCTTCCAAGCAGTCGTTTATCCAATTTAGCAATCCCGGTCTAGTCGGCGCGGCAACAACCTCTATGGAATAGAAGCCCGTAAACAAAACTGGGCTAGTGACGTTTGTCCAGCGGGACAGCTTTGAGGCGCTTCGAGGGAAGCAAAATCGATGGCCCTTGAACCAAGGGGTCGAAGAATGAAACATACATCAAAGTAGAGGCATGTCACAGTAATGAGTCTAGCTTGCTCAGGACCTCCAAAACACCGGCAATGAGTTCGCATCCAGCGTCCTCGTCACCACCAACCAATTCCTTGCGCACCTCCATAAGCAATCCATGCACCGCTTCACGACCGTTGCTGCCAGAGCTGCCCATTGCGATGCGCGGACCCTCCCTCTTTTTTGATCCCGTGTTGCCTGAAGAGCCGGTGGCGCCGAATGGCCAGACGGCAAATTCGGCGAGGATATCATCGCACCGCGCAAATGCTGTCTCACGCTCCTCGTATCCGAGCTTGGAAAATGCATTGTCAAGGACGCTAGCGGCGTAGGCGGAACATGCGAGGCAGACTGTCCGCAGCGCCCGCATTTGCGTGCCGGAGGTTTGAAGCGCGGCGGGTGGAACGGCTGATGTGCCAGCGGTGAGGAGTGCGATGACGCGTGAGACGACGGCGTCTTTGACGCGGAGGTCGGCGACAGGATGCGTGGCCATGTCAAAGAGGAGAAAGTTGCGCTTCTCTGTGCGGAGGACACCCTTGTCAACGAGCCCCTTGGCAAGACGCTCGCGGACCTGCTTGAGCTGGTAGCCAATTTTGAGCACGTTCCACGTTTCACCTGTTATTGTCGTCCAATTCGTTAGCGTGTCAGGGGTTTTCACGCGCGGTGGCGAGGGTAAAAGCGGACATGCCTGAGAGAAGATCGACCCATGAATTGATAGACATACGTTCAGACTCTTGCGCCTTCATCATGCGGAGCGTCTCGTCGAGGATGGTCTCACCCGTCTGACGGTCATCAGTGACCTCGACTAGACGCTCGGCAATGGGGAGTCTGCGACGATTTGGATCCTTGTGAACGGCAATGCGCCGCCGGAGGGCGAGCTCAATGAGTATGCAACCACGTAACGCGTAGGAGATGTTGTCGTTCCAGAAGGATAAGTAGCCCTGCACTCGCACTCGAAAGTCAAGTCGGATACCCGGATTCATAGAGACAGACTTGCCTGATGGTCTTTTAAACCAAGAAGCAGGATTTCTTCCATGAGGGTTAGACGAGGCACCTTTCCACCTGTCTTTGATTCTTCTTCATCCTGCTCGAGGTCGCGTGGATCAATGGCAATTTTGTTACCCCCGGCAAACGCAGAACCACCATGAGAAGTAAGGGATGATGAAGAAGGCTCCGAGGAGGAGGGCGCTGGACCGGTATTCACTCTCCGCCTGGACAGTCCGGAAGTTTCACTCATCACGTTGTGGTGAAGTAGGCGTGAGTGAAATGGCAAGGAGAGCAGTGTGAACGAAGGACGTTTGGATACTGTGACACTTCGTCCTAGGCCGGCCCGCGGCCGACTTCGGCACCGAATTAAGTTATTGCATGCAAAGCTCCATTCGTGGGACCCCGTAGCTCAGTGGTAGAGCGTGAGATTCCAGCACTGTGGTATATCCTCAAGGCCATCCGTTCAATCCGGGTCGGGGTCAAATATTTTTATTTTTTCAACCATCTGCTTCTCCCAATCCCTTAACCTGACGGTTTCTGTTCGGAAAATGGTCCTCGGCTGTCCGCTTGAGTTGGACTCTCAATAGCATATCCCTCACAACACCTATTTTCTTTCGAGGCACGACATTCTTACGGGCATTTTCGAGACTAAGCCTACCTGTCCACATGAGCGACCTCCCATACGACGAACCTGTCTTACGTTCTAATTCACCCAGCGATTCCCTCTCAACCGAAGATGGCCCTGATGAGACCACCCTAGCAGAAAAGGAGCTCTCTACGGCTGAATTTACCTGTCGCGTTGAAAGCACGCACCGTTACCACGTAGCACACGAGGCTGAGCTCGTCGCGGAACAATCACCACTATTGCCTCCGCTTAATCAGGGGGATGAAAAAGACGAGAAAAGTGAGTACCTACTCCACTACTGGGGAAAAGAGGGGAACATTCACTGACATTAGTGGTAACATGAAGTCCGCTTCGAGCAGGTAATGCTAACGCTGCGGCGCATCGTGGAGCAGGTCGAAGAGGAATCGTGTTTCGACGCCACTCTCACGGGTAGTAGCCCGTGTGGTGTACTCGAAGAGCCTCGCACTACGGACGACCTTGTGGCTCTTATGCAAGGCCTTATGGGTATGGACTCGGACCAGGACCGGTCACTGGCCCGTACTCCCTCTCCCTCGCGAGGTCAGGTATCGATCAGCAGCGGCCCGATGATTCTGGATGCTCCACACGCACCGCGACACGCACTCCCCTACAATCGTACAATCGGTTTTGCAGCTGGAAAAGAGAAGCTTTGGGCGGAGTAACCTGAGGGGAGCTCAGGGATGAGTGCATGGTATGGTGCGTGTTTCTCGCGAGCTAGTAGTATTTTTCTATTTTCTCGCAGTGACTGACGTCTGTACAGGGGGGGACGGACGTTTTTCTCCTTGCTTCATTTCCGCCAGCCACTCGCGAGAATATCACAATTATATCTAACTCAATATCTCGTTCGGATCCTCACACCTTAGCACTTAATGGACCTCTCATGCATACCCACTTTGACCCGAGTTCGGGGCTTAATTTCCGCATCACCCCGAACCCACACACACTCCCCTGACGTGACCGTCAAACCCCCTTGATTGGAAATGCCTATATAACATACCTCGCAACCTTGTGATATTTTTCCACGATGGTTTCTGGAAGATTCTCATCGGCGGGAGTAGCCGATGTGACGAACCCACAGACGGAGAGTGATAAGGGTAAGTGCGTTCTTTTATTCACAGCAGCTGCGAAACCTCCGCTACCTGTGCTGAATATTGTGGTCTTTGCGATGCACGTCCCGTGCGTTTCCGATGGATCGTCCCTGCCTTCGAATTAAAATTGTGCTTTATAATTCTACCCATGGCCCGAAGGTTAGCTGTTATTGCTCTACAGTGAGCTCTCCTGGAAAGCGTAGTTTGGCCGTGAGTGAGTTGCCAACACACACAATCAATCACCCGCCCATCATCACCACCCTGTATCTTTTATCCTCTGCTGTTGGCTGCGCGCACAGTTGCATTACCTTGTAACCATGGTTTTTCAGTCAGTTCGTTCCACGTCTAGCTTAAAAGGTACGAATAATTTAGCCAGTTGCAGCAATCACGCATTCCGTCATTGTAACGTGCATTCTGAAATCCTGAAACATTCGGACACGTGCAACAACCGTGACCCATCAAGTCAGGCTCAGGCTAGGCCTTGCGAACGTTCACTAGGCTTGACACGTTTTCCGTTCATTGCCTGTACGTCTTAAAAGTAGAATCTATTGGAATAATGAAGAGGGTCCGTGCAATAACGAATAGCTTAGTAATAACACTAGTTTTAGCCTTCATTCCGAGTGCCGTAATCGTAATTAGCCTTGTCAATGGCACGCCGAAGTGGTGTGCACCACTACCACCATCTCAACGGGTGCAAGTCCTTCCCATCATCATTAACCACTTTTCTCGAGAAATTCGGGGTCCCCATGCCACGAGGCCGCAATGAAGCCGTGATACACGACGAGGTTTTTGCCTCGCGCGTGCCTATAAGACAGCCTTTTCCTATGGATCAATGAGGCCTACCTGCCGTGCGGCACAACGCAGTCTGCTATACCCTGAGCGTATATCTTCTGTTCATTCATACACAGTCCTTCTCGACTCTCAGCCCTGCAGAGCCCCGTTCCAGCAGTCCTCCTACTCCCACTTTCAAGTTCCCCATGACATTTATCCCTCCTCTGCGTGCTTCCAAGAGTGGACATGGTCTACGCCAACAAACCGCCATGATGCCACGCCGCGCAAATACTCATCCCTGCCGTACCAGGCCTAAAGCCACATCGGCGTGTCTTTTCCAAACTCATTTCCTAACGCCGATTTGCTCATTCCTGTCCACCGACAGACCCCACCGTCGCTAACCATCAGGACCTCACAAGCCTCCTCAGAGCCGAGTGACACCATATCCTCGAGGACCGTCGTGCCCCCCAGTACCCAGCGACAGCACCGCTGGTCAGAGCTCGTCCCGCCCCAGACAGGGCTCACTTTCGTCGCCATGTACGACCCGGCAGATGGTCTACTTACCTTCTCCGGAGCCGAGCTCCTGCCCTCTGAACCGCCTACCCCGCCCACGCCCCACACGCCATCATCATCACTCGATACGCCAGATACGCCGACCACCACTGCTTTCAGCCCAATGCCATGCACGCCCGCTCCGAGCACGCTCGCGGATATGCAAAGTCTCCTCGACGCGTACTTCCGCTCCGCTGCAGCCACTACCCCAGGCAACAACCATGTGATGCCCGCGCGGGCATCATCGACGTTCGACGGTCTCCGGTGCGGGTCCATCCAGCCAAATGAGTCGGGAAGCACCAAAGCCGGAACAGGAGCCGGAGTTGGAGGTGGTCGAGAGAAACCGCTTCCAATGCGTCCGCCACCGCCACCTGATCGAGACAGCGTATTTGCGTGGTCGTGGCTTGGTCGTGTGGCGCCGGACGATCCGCGTGAACCCTGGGATTCAAGTGAAAATGATTGTCACGGTGGTGGCTGTAGTGGGTGCGAGCACTGGCCGTCTGTGGCGGACAGTGGATACGTCAGTGAGGGTTGTGATGGGGCTGCATGTGATGGCGGCGACGACGGTGACTCGTTCTACTTTACACCACCTGAAATCGAGGATCCGAACGAGGTGCGCAAATTGCTCCCTCCAAGGCAGTTTCCCTCTCATCGCCTTTTTTCTTTCGCTATATATGGTAGTCCTCCGCGTTCTCTGTGACGACAACGTCGACGTCAGAGTACATCGACGTGCCAGGTCGCGAGTGCGACTCCATCTGGTCCGCGAACGTGCTTGCCTATGCTTATCCCGCACGTGGCCAAGCACGCGCCCAGACGCAGCCATCCTCGCCAACGTCGCCGGCACAGGCCCTTTTGCACCCGTGGCGGCTTCTCCGCGCACGGGCCTCCCAGACCTCGATCGCGGGGCCACCGCAACGGCGGGCATCGAGGGCTGCTAGCATGTTCGCGAAGCTTGGCCGGCTCGGATCGCGGGACGACGGCGAGTCATGGATCTGTGTCGAGGTGGTACACACAATAACGCAACGACCTCTGCGTGAGTGCGACTGGTAGACCACGGACAGTTATTTTGTTTTCAAGTTATTTCTTTTTTGCCATTTTCGTTGTAGGCGCTGGGATCCGCTGATAGCACACCCTCCTTACCGTTTAAGCATTTTCCTTCACGCCCCCTCTTGGCCTTCGCGCTTACAGTACTTCCTTTCGTGACATTGACGTATAAGTAAACGAGAGAATTGAAATGAAACAAGGGCCATAGGTAAAAAAACAAAGTCCTAAGCCCCAGCCTAAGATACGGACGCTCCGTAGCCCAAAGCTGAGTAAGGAAAATCCATTACAAAACACAGTGGGAGAGGGGGGGAATATCATTACCGATAGACGTAAGCGCAACATCGTCTATCATATATAATAAAACAGTCCGTGCCACTCATTGGAAGTATACATCCTCGCCCCAGTAGTCTGCCAGTGGACGGTTGATGAACAGATCGGCTTACAAACACGACGGGAGATGGACGGACCTTCTGTAATACCTTGCCAGGCAAGGTAGAGCACGATAACGCTTGCAGTCTCCAGAGCCGTCGCGATGAAGGAACCGTCAATCTTGGCGTTCGTACCATTGCAGATGGGACGAGAAAGGAGGAAATATGTGAGTTGCGCGAGAACAAAAAGGATACCGGCCAACATATAATACACTAAAGGACGCTGCTCGCGGAGTTTTTTGACCACGATCCATATCATTAGGACAAAGTAAAGAAACGCCGCGCTGCGGAGTGGCGTCAGATGTCATATATAGGTAACGGAAGTAAGGAAAACGCACGTGCTGGGCCATATCGAAGTGAGGATAAAGAGGGCAATTGAGTGCAGCGAATCCGGTGGGTTACCCGGCTTCAATGTGGTCGTGATCGTAAGAGCAACGTCAAGGGAGACATAAGTGGTAGCGACCGTGAAGAATAGCGTGAAAATGTAAAAGGGCTAAAAACGCGCCTGTTAGCAAGAACGATAGGATATTGATGGGGAATAGGACGGACAATCAACGACGATGGTGTGCCATCCTCAACGATTTGAGTCGCCACGAGAGCGTTTCCCAGGAGTGTCCAGAAAAGAGCGGCAACAGCACCTGCATGGATGGCTGTAAAGACGACAAGAGACGTGGTTCCTTGCTCGAGAAAAGAACCCGTCGTGATAAGTTGGAGGGGGAGGGTGAGAAGGTAAATGACGAGAAATGTACGAAGCTCGATACGACCTGGGGGTTGGGTTAGAAGATCGAAAGGGCTGGAGGGCAGGCAACTGGACTTGCCAACGGCGGCCTTTCGGCGGTTACAGCGAATGATGAGCCAGATGAGAACCAAAATACTGAAAGAGCAAGCGAGGATATTGGCAATGTTGCCGACAGAACTTTCAAAGCCAACGCGTGGGATACCACACTTTGGGTTGA